GCTTTTATTGAGATACCAATTTCATATTCTGTATACTTGGCACCTTTGTCAAGAATGCATTCACTCTACATGTGTGGGTTTATTTCTGAGTTCCTTTCCATTGGTCATCATGTTTGTTTTCTTGCCAATACCATGATGTTTCATTTATTGTAGTTTTAAAATCTATTTTGAAATCTGGTTTTATGATATTCCTAGCACTGTCCTTTTTAATCAACAGAGTTTTCATTTTGGGAGGTCTATTTTTTGTCACCTTTTTGGTTTCTGTGAACAAAAGACCTGACCAGAACAATTTTAGAGGAGGAAGAGTTTACTTGGGGACTTGCAGTTTCAGAGGTCACTATCCATAGATGGCTGACTCCATTCCTTGGGGCCCTAAGTAAGGCAGGACATCATGGCAGAAGAGTGAGTTGGAGGAAAGCAGCTCAGGACATTTAACCAGGAAGCTGAGAGAGTGAGCTCCACCCAACTACACAAAATATGTACCCCAAAGACATACTGCCAATGACTCACCTTACCTAGCCACAACCTACCTTCCTACAGTTACCACCCTATAGCTCCTACCTGGGGATTAATACTAATTAGGTTAAGACTCTCATAACCACTCTCACTTCACATCTAAACTTTCTTATATTATCTTGCACATGAGGGGATACTTCATATCTAAACCACAGCAGGGTCTTTTATGGTTCCACATGAATTCTAGAATTCTTTCTCATTTCTGTGTAGAATGAAATTAGAAATTTGATAAACCCAACTGGTTTTGTTTTTTCCTTTTTTTTTTCCTGTGGTGCTGGGATTAAACCCATGACCTCAAGCATGCCAGGCAACTGCTCTGCCACTGAGCTACACTCCCAGCCTGATGACCCTGTTTCTGGTGGAGCCTTCTGTCCTTGGGTCTTCTCTTCATCCCACTGCTCCGAGCCCTCCCCAGCAGGAGTCTTGGTGCTGACAGTCATTGGCTCTGAGTACAGTGCAGGACACCTTGACCTCCCTGCTATTCTCAGCATCATGCCCTCTTTCTCCCAGTGTGGGCATCACCCTCCTGATGGTCTCTTGCCCACTTCTTTATCCAACCCTTGCCTTTTTTATACCTCTACTCTCCACCCTACAGGTGCTGGACTTTGTCTCTCCCTGGTCTCTCTACACCTCTCTGCTATGGGACCTTTTCCTCACTACCCCTGCCTACCTGCCTGGAGCCCTCACCAACTTCCACCTGTCACAAGCCCCCTCTGGTGGGACCTTTGCAATCTATAGCTACTCTCATTTGCCTTCATCCAGAGCAACACCCATGTTGTCCCCCAACCCCGGTTCTCCTAGGGTCACCTGTATGCTGTGTTCAACCCCCACCCCTAGTCATTCCTTGACCAGGCTACTAATCTCTCTTGCCCTTCCCTCCTCCCCTTCCCATCCATATTAGAAAAAGGCTCTTGGTCCTCTTGCTCTTTGCCCTTCTCCCTCCTTTTGGGGGTTCCTTTACCTTAGAGGGCTTTGGCTCCCTCAACCATGTGTCCAAATCTGTATTTTGGTACTTGGTTGGTCCTGGTGTTCCCCAACTATGGCCTCTCCCATCACCACTTTTATCATGTGATGTTTTTTATTTGTTGTTCATTTCTTTGTGCTGGGCATTGAACCTGGTCTCAACCATGCACTCCACCTCTGAGTAACACCCCCGGCCCCTATGTTTTCCTAACCTGATGCTCTTTTGGGGTGTGACCTGCTTCACTCCAGCCCTTCCACTGTGAAGGGCCTCCCCCAGGTTGTGCAACTTGTCCCTCTTTATACACTTTGTATACTAACCTCAAGATCATCCATAGTGTAACAACTAACAGAATGCCCTTCCTTTTAAATTCAGAGTAATATTCCTTTGGCATATAAGCCACATTTTGATGAGGTGTTCCTCAGTTGATGGGTACTTGGGTTACTTGTATCTTTTGGCTTTTGGGAACAATGGTGCTATTAATGTGGGTGTATGCACATCTCTGAATTCACCTGCCTTCACTACTGTTGTGTTTATGCCCAGAAATACAGTAACTGGATTATACAGAAAGTATCTTTTGAGCATTTGGAGGATTTCCCTTACTATTTTCATAGCATCTGCACTGTTGTATGCATAGGCAAGCAATGTTCCTGTGCTGCAGTTTTCTACATATTTATGAACTAGTTCATTCCACATTCTTTTTTCTAAATGGTAGCCATCCTCATGTGTACAACATGGAGTCTTATTGTGCTTTTATTTTCATTTCCCTAATGGCTGCTGATGTTGAGTATCTGTTCATGTGCTTATTGGGTATTTGTGAATCTACCAGGGAACAGGTTATAGAGATATTTTTCCCAATTCTGAATAGATTCAACATTTATATTATTTTTGAGTTGTCCAGATTCTTTTCTGTTTGCTTGTTTTGTGGAACTGGGATCAATCCCAGGCTCTTACACATTCTAGGCAAGTGCTCTACAGCTGAGGATTTCTACCCCAGCTCAGGATTTCTTAATACTTTCTGAATGTTAATCTCTTATTAGATATTAGACTTGCAAATATTTTCTCTCATTCTGCAGGTCACCATTTCTATGGGTATACTTAGGTGTTCAGATGTTTTTATGTTAATTATTTTGATGGGTCAAATTTATCAATTGTTTTCTATATTGTCTGACAAGTGCTTTTGGTGTTATATCATTGAAAATTAGTAATTCTTTGTTCTGAAGATTATTGCCAATATATTTCCTAACAAATATGTATATCTAATATTTATAGGTTAAACATGAATTTAACCTATAATCTCTCTCATGCTAATAATACCACTGAGCTACATGACAGGCATTTAAAAAATTTTATTGTGAGATAGGGTCTCTGACTAAGTTTCTCAAGTTGACCTTGAACTTGCATTCATCTACTTCAGTTTCCTGAGTAGCTGGGATTACAGGCATATATCACTATATGTAGCTGCCAATGTGTTTTCTTCTAAGTTTTATAGTTTGTATTTTGAGTTTGTGTGTGCGTGTGTGTGTGTATATAATCTGAATGTTGAACCCAGGCACTTTGACAAGCTAGGCAAGCACTCTCTCATTGAGCTACATCCCCAGTCCTGAGTTAATTTCTATCTGTGAGTAAGTAAAGGGTCCAACTTCATTGTTTGTGTGTGGAAATCCAATGTTTCCAGCATCATCTATTGAAAAGATACATCAGGTCTTTGAAAACACTGCCAGCTGCCTTTTCCCAGGAGACGCTAATAGGACCATTTACCTCCCCTACCTAGGGCCTCCAGATGTTGATCTTTAATTTGGACCCACCCACTGCTTTACATCCCTTTATGGTACAACCCCACTCAATACTTTTGGGGCCACAACCCTCCCTTACACTGCCCCAACCTGCCTGTCCCACCTTATCCATGAGAAGTCTGCAGAGAGGAAGCACCCCTATTTCAGCCCCCTGCCCCCCTGCCCTACCCCCTGTACATGTGTAACCATGGGCCTTCCCTGATGTACACATCTGGACCTCCTGTTCCTCCTGCCCCTGCAGGCCAGCCTCTCCTCTTGAACTCTCTCCTATGCACTTAGGCAACCTGTTCCCCTGTCTCAGGCCCTGGCTTACATGCCTGCCCCTCTCCATTTCCCCTTTCTCCATCCCTCACTTCCCCTCTCCTTCCTCTTTACTTTCCTCTCTGCATTGTATTGGGAACCTTTCTTCTGTCCCTTTGTCTGTATGTGTCTGCTACCTCCTCAGGTGCTCAGGACAGCAGAGCCTTTGTGGTGAGCATTGATGAGCAGTAGTTTCCAGGAAGAAGTGTCATGTATTGCTTCCTCTTCCACAGGGACCCAATCTCCACTATAACCTCACAGTAAGGTCCCAAGGTGGATCAGTGCAATCTTCTGCTGATGGTTATTGGGACCATCAGCTCTTACTTTACTATGATAGTGACTCTAAAGAAAGCCCTAAACCCCAGGGGCCTTGGGCAGAAAATCCCTTGGGAACTGAGAGATGGAACACAGAGATCCAGGAGTTGAAAGAGCACATCAAGAAAGCAAAATCAACCCTGGCAGAAATCATTGCCCAGCAGGAGCAGAAAGGAGGTGAGTGTGAGTGGGAGCAAGGGTGACATGAGCTCTCTCCAGGAAGGCTGGGGGCAAAGAGCAGAGACCTGAGTCTTCCCCATGCAGTTGACTGGGGAGGGCAAGAAATGGACTCCATGGAGACACTGAGGAGAGCCAGCTTGGGGTCCTCTGTGGGCTGGAATTTTTCACTTGGGGGCAGGGAGGCAGAGGGGCCAGGGGATGGAGAAGTGACTGTTGCATCCTTGCAGGGTCTAATTCCCTTCAGGAGATTTGGGCTGCAATATTGAAGAGGACAACCACACCAGGGGCTTCTGGATGATCTACAGTGATGGGGAGCCATTCCTCTCCTATCACCTAGAGATGCACAGCTTGAGAATAGAGCCATCCTCAGCTCAGACCTTGGCTATGGAAGTCAAGAATTCCTGGGATGCAGATGACATGCAAACAAGAATATCTGGACCCAAGTGGAGGGAGGGCTTTGTGGAAAACTTTGGACTTATCAAGTCTCCTGGAAGGGCTCCTCCCTCTCCCCTGGAGCCTCTGCCCAGGGGATCTTGTGTGAGTTTGTGTTGTGATTTGCCTATCCTGTCATATCACTAGATAGACACAGGAGAGTGTATGTGCCAGACACTATGAGCCCCCACCTGCCTGCCTGCCTGCTATCATAGAGCTCCCACCTGGCCCCACAACCCTTAGTCCCCCAAAATACTCCTCTTGACCTCACATTCCAGAGTCCCTGTAACAACCTCTCCTCAACATGTGGAGTGAGAATGTGAGGCTAGAAGCCCATCTTCCTGTCCAGATGACTCAGGCCCCAGGCTGAGAACAGGCTTGTAGAAGGTCTGGGGTCAATGAGGTCTTAGGCCAGAGCCAGAGATTGGAGAACAGCCCTATTCCCTCCCTGAGAGGTACATGAGGTTTTGTCACATGTCTGAGTAGCTCTGTCCTTTCTTCTCCAGTGTCGCCAACAGTGAATGTGACCTGTGGTGAAACCTCTGAGGACACCATCAATGTGACATGTTGGGCTTGTGGCTTCTATCTCCAGAATATCTCTGTGATCTGGCTTCAAGATGGGGAACTCCTGAGCCAGGACACGCAGGACTCTGTGGATGTTTTTCCCTATGGGAATGGAACTGACCAGACCTGGATGTCCACCAGGATTCCCCAAGGATAGGAGCAGAGATTCAGCTGCTATGTGGAACACATTGGGAAGAACACCACTGTCCCTGTGTCCTGTGGTAAGCCTGGGGGTCCCAGCAGAGGTTCCCAACCAGGTTGGTCAGTGACCAGGGTGGTGAGAGGGGAGAAGCCTTGAGATTGTGGTACCTAGAGTGTAACAATCCTGCTTTCACATATTGGACTTTGGAAGGAATGGCCCATCTTCCTATCTGTTGCTGTTCCTCTGCTTATGATGGTTATGATTCCTGTTTGTGTCTATTACTACAAGAAGAGCAAGATGCCATCAGCTACAAAGGCTTCAGGTGAGAAAAGTGGTCATTGGCTGTAGATGTGAAGACCTGCCTGGAATATAGGGTCCCTCATGCCTTCTGCTGCACTGAGAGCAGTGGAGGTGACCAGGAACTGGGCTTAGAAGTCTGTGTATTTGTGGGGGATGGGAGCCATATCTCCAGTTACACTCCTCTGTCCTGCCAAAAGCCAGGGCAGTAACATTCTTGAATGTCCTGCTGTGGCCTCTTCTAGCTGTAGCTGTGGCTCCTGCTCTGTCCATGTCTCTTTCTCTCACACTTTGCTGGCTTGACCAGGTGTTTGTGTTGGGAATGGTGGCTGGTGTGGACTAGATTATCATGGCCTGAAGGGGACACAGAGTCAATGAGTTGTGATCTTTGGATGCTTAGAAACTGAAGAGGAATTCCAGAGAGGTAATGCCTCTGGTCTCTTCTTGTCTGCCTTGCTCTCCCCCATTCTCTTCAGCTGATATAAGCACAGACTCACAGGGCCAGCGCCCCACCAGTGCAGCCCCTGGAGGCCATATAGAGTAGGCCATGGCTCTGCATCCCAGGCCACCACCTCTGCTCTGTGTGTAGTTTCTCTAGTTCTTCCTCAGAAGCTGTCTCCTGAGTGTGTCTTCAGGGGTCATTGGCCCTCCCAGTCTCTACCCTATCCCCACCACACAGGTCTTGCAGATGACATGGACAGTAGAATAGCTGATGTCCTTGACCATCTGGGGATAGAGACCAGCCCATTCTGACGCAGTTATAGTTACTGTTTTTCCCTGTATATACTATTTTCCAGTGTATCCCCTAGGAGTGTTGGTCACCACAGGTTAGGGCAGACTGCCTTGGAGCAGAGGCCCATGCAGATGACTCCTCTGGTAGGGTAGGCAGCTATGTGCCATATGCTGCTCCCACCTGTGGCCTCTCTGACAGGTGCAGCAGGGGAATGTTAGTTCTACTTTCCTCTGGTCAGAAACGGGGAATGTCACTAGGGCAGTGCCCAGGAAAAGAGTGGTAAAGGCCTGTTGCTTATTTCTGCAAATTTCTCCTTTAAAAGTTGAATCTCAGTAAGGATGTTCCCAGTTTCAGCTGTATGGTGTGAAAGGAAGTTCTCCAGTGCCCATGTGATAAGGTGCACTAAATGTTACCCTTGGATATCCCTCTAGAGGAGTCCCCCCTGTGGGAGACCTGGATTGTGGCCATGGCAATTCCAGGGTGCAGACGGTGGGCTGGCAGTCCACACTGCAGGATCTCAGGAAAGCCTTTAATCTGCTTTGGGAAGAAGACCCCTATAGGCTGTGAGGATTGTGGCCTGCAGTAGTTCATGCCAGGAATGAAGATAGGGAGTCCAGGGCAGCCTTAGGAAAAAGGAACCCATGGGGAAGAGCTGGGTTCTCAGGGGTGGGTAGACCATGCAGGTAGGAGGAAGCAATAGTGCAGATTGAGAGCCTGGGCAGGTGCAGAGGGTCAGTGATTTTCTTCTCTATGGGCTGTTACAGGTTGGGTGAGCAGTAGATCATGTGGCAGGCATGCTTTTCTAGGCTGGGCCTACTGGTGCCCCTGGGCTTCCTGGTGGACTATCCAGTTAGAAGCTGCTGGCTGAGGGCTGGGAGGGAGGGATACTGAGTTTCAGGTGGTGAAGTCTCTGCTGGGTGAGCACCTGCCTCTGTAGGAAAGGAGATCTAGGAACTAAGGGGGAAGAAGGGCTGTGTGAGCCCCTGTCCAGCCTGGCAGGAGCAGGAGCTGCTCTCTCTGGGAGGCTCCCACTGTCTGTGGAGGAGGGGACACTGGGCTTCACTTCCAGATCTAGACTCTGAATCCTGAAGCCCTTTCACTTTCTTCCATGGTGGGAACAGACACTGTTGATGTTGCTGATAGAGACACAGAGGATACTGATAAGAGGAGCAGGAAAATGGGATGACAGAGAGAAAACAGTCAGGGTGTTTACTTCCCTCAGAGAATGGCCAAGTCTGGTTTTTGAGGAATTGAGGAGAGAGAGGTGTAAGGGAATAAAGAGCAATGTTCTGCCACCAATTGAACACTGACTGGTTCTCCTTCTTCCCCAGAGCAAGTGAGTCTGCAAGTCCTGATTGGGCTGCAAAGAACACCAAGTGACCATGCTGAATCCACACAGCTGGGGTGTCAGCCTCTGCTGAGAGCTCTTGAGGCATCTCAGGGAGCTTAGCCTGTGTAGCCCTGCACTGGCCAGCACTTTCCCTCTCGGTGCCTTTGTTTCCTCATCTTTATGACGTGGAAACTTGTTTACTGACTTGGGACTTGGGGATATATGTAAGTTGATTGCAGTTGTGCAGTGCCAGGTATTATTTTATTGTATTTTAACATATTATATATAAAATTTTTATGTTTATTTGTAAGTGTTCTTATTCTACTTCCTACAAAGAAATCTCAAATACTGGCTTTTCTTGACTATGGAGGGCCCCTCAACCCCTGCCTTACCTCCTGTCTGCATAATTTGACAATATAAGTGTTTCAGTGCTTTTAAATGTGAAACATATCTGGTCTATGTTTTACTTCATGTCCTGGGAAGTGTGAAAGGGTCTGTGAAAAGGACCTGTTTGTCTCCATGTTTGACAATGGGTTCCTGAGCCTATCCTGTCATATTCCTACATTTGCAAATTAGAATAAACCATGTCAGCAACAGTCGTGGTCTCCAGGGTGGGTTCTTGATGTTGGAGTCGGGGCTGCTTTGGTGGGCAGGCCAAGTAGAAGCCACTAGAACTGCCTCTGCCTATAGAAATAATCCTGCACTCCTGGAGGGACTACAGAGATTAGTGCCCCACCATCAATAAGCTAAAAGATATAAGGGTGCTGATTGTTAACCTCAATCCCATTCAACATACATGTTTGGCTTGTGCAGGAAGTGGAGGATTGTGGGATTGTTGTAACTTATCAAGGGGGTGACTCTCATTGCATCTGCTACATCAGACGAAGTTTCATTGCTTGAGCAAAGTAACACAAGCCTTGGTACCTGATGTGCTATGAAACTGGGAAACATCTTTTTTCCATTGCTGTCCAGGAGGTCCACCAGCTATGAAGACCAGCAGTACATGTTCACTGTTTCCTTTTCCTTCAAATTGAA